CGCAAAAATGTTTCACCGGAGAGTCCGTTTCCATCGCACTCCTCGCTTTCTGCCAAGATAAATGTTTTCTGTTTTGTGTCGCTTGTTCCTTTTACCTGCACGCAGCAGCGCCAGCTCTTTGCCAATCTTGACAGTCGCAGCTGAAATGATCCCGCCTCATCAACAGCTGTCAGCCAATCACGGACCTCCATTGAGCCTCCTGGAAAGCCGTTAACCAATCAAGGCGCTCCGTCAGGAAGCAGACAGGGCTCTGTGTAAATGTGACTGACGGGAGAACCATTTCATTCAAAGTAAAGCGTAGTCATTGAAACAATGTTATTTTCCTCGACGCGGTTGAAATGCCACGGTTACATCGACTCAAGCCTGTGTAAAAATATAACTGTAGTGATCTTTCACAGCCATTTAAGTCGTTGTTTGCTGTGTGCGGGAAGACAGACAGCCACACAGTGTTGTGAAGAGGCTTTACGTAACGTTCAGCAAAATGTTCTTGTTACATAAATCATAACGTCGAAAGCGTCGACTGGTGGCCGCAGTCCATAACACAACAAACCAAGCTATTTCGACTCAGACTGTTTCGAGCCATTTCTGATGTGATATTTAGACATCAATTCTACAGTTGGTTTGACGCAAGGCTTGTCAGGCTAATGTGTCTTGGAAGCGTTTATTCATGAGAACCTCACGAAGAGTCCCAGGGCCAAATAAGCGGGAGATTTCAGAAAAGAAGTTACTGCACGATAGCATAATGCAAAACAGCAATGTAGGCTATCTGTAACGAGTTTTTAACTTGCTTTTTGAACCAAATGTACACGATGTATTTATGTATCGTCGTAGGCTTCAAAAGGGAGGACCAGGCAACATTTAAAAAAGAGCATGTGATTGGAACAGCTTTGGAGTGATAATCAAATCTAGCAGGATTGTTAAAACTATTATATATAACGTTTCAGCTCCTGAAACAACCTTTGATATAAAATGAAAACATGTTTTAATAGGTGAGCAAACAGCTTCTAAACAGTACAAATAATACAGCCATGATGAACTTTTTGAGAAAGTATCGTGTGCATTTTATTATATGTTACGTCTCTCCATTATACATTTTAACAACCTTGAAATAGTATAAATAGATCTACAGCATTGTAAAATATGAAGATTTTCAGTCTGGTGTATTTACAGAAGACAGCTTTAAGAAGCACAGGGGCGAGAAATACAATGCTATAAGTGTTCAATATCGATTAACCCCTTTACTCAGTATTGCACGTATACTTTAAATGTTATTCCATGAACTACAAACCTTCTCACTCACAACTTCTTCTCAAACATTACAACTCTGTTATACTAAACCCCCACAACTCTGACATACACACAGCCTATAGAGTATTATACTGAACACATCATAGCCTAGTCTTTAAAATATGTGCTTGTTTCCTAAAATATTTGTTCTAGTATTTTTACATACACTTTTTGCTTTAACACATCTCTCGTAGTACAAGCTATGCCCCTCACCCCTTTCCGAGTTTTATGCCCTAAATTGAACAAAGCACAGATGCTAATGAGCTTGGCCTTTTTTTTGCTATCAGGCCTAGAGTACTGTATGTGAGTGGATTCACTGAGGTATGCTCTCTTCCAGGGATTAAACTGTCTCTCTTTTATTGTAGCCTCTACTGATCAAACTTGTTTCAGCCCTGGAATGCAGAAAAATACATCTTAAACAGTAGAATTTACTTCTTATGTGTGATGTGATGGAACAAAAGCAACACATTAAAAGGTACATTTGTATCATGGAATATATGTTACAAATTGAACCATAGCAACATTATAAATGATTTGATTAGTTCTTGCTTGACATTTAAACTTGTTTTCTCTTGCATTTATGGATGATAATACATTTTACCAACTTCACTATTTGTGGTTGAAGGAGAGACATTATAGAGTGCAGCTGAAAACAAGTGTTGAATACCCTTTTGACTTTTCAAAATGAAGCTTTACCAAAACAGACCGCAGTTTAAGCAAATGATGAAATGACAGTTATGACTTTCAAAGGCCAAATGCATCAAACCTATATAAGGAACCCTTATCGCCCTCAAATCAATGGCTTTACACCAACATCAACCCACCCCCTTCCCCCCACAGTGCAGCCATTTGGATCATGGATAACCTTTCCTAGGAAATAGACCTAGGTGTGTCCCAGTGATATCTGTGTGTATTGAAGGGAAGCCTTGTTTGAATGTATGAGATCAGCTCTCTTCTCTCTCAGTGAATATGTCACTGACAGGACTGACATTTTACACATCCAAGTTTTAGCAGTCTAGCAAAAGCATTGTCTTTCAGTTTTTTATGGTTAGATTGTAGGAAAACTTTCTCTGGCCTTCTTTACTTACTACATATGGCACATTATGTTTGATCTGTGCTCAAGTTGGGAAGACCTAGGTTTTGTGTGAGGAAGGGTGACAGACAGCATAGTTTTGACCTGACAATGTGGCACATGGGGAAACAATGTTCAAATGTTAAACATATTCTGGCATTAGAGATTCAAATCTAGTTCTTTCAATATATTTTAAGCTAGCTTGCTTGCACACACAAGACGCAGTCATTTTTACAACTGACTATTTGATATCTGTGACATATAGATCAATACATTTTTTCTATATAACATTTTCTCAAATTGGTGAAACTGGAAGGAACCTAATTTGACAACACACATCTTCTTTTGGATAAACACAACTTGTCAGACACAACTTTTTCCTAGCAGTCAAATTAAATCACGCAAACGACTGAGTTCAAGTCACACAAAAGGCCTTCAAGTGCTAACGATGCAATCCACCCATACTAAAATAGAGATGGGGGTGGGGGGCATTGACAGCAACCAGGGAACAGACTATTGACACCCCTGAGCCATTTTCCTTGCTGAGAGTCATCCCCAGCTGTCAAACACAGACAAACAAAAGGCCCCACCATCAAGAGAAAGCTCTTATCAAGATAGAGAGAGAATAGTGGTCATCAGGCTTTTTCAATTCAAAGCCCCAGGCTGCATTTCTGGCTCACAGTGGGTGATGATTGCAGCAGCCAAAGTTATGCAACTGCAATAGTTTAACATAACTAATTAGGTAAGGGAAGTTAGGTTTGCTTAGCAATTGGATGTTACCAAATTTGAGTGGAAGACAGGCGGACCACTGAAGGATATGCAAGGCAAGTCAGTATTGACTTTTTGGTTGGATGTGTACTTCTACTGTGAGATCCTAGAATGTCTAGGAATGAGTCATGAACCAAGAGGCCGCTTTGATTTGAGAACTGGCATCAAATAAGACAGAGGAGTCTGTATATATATGTAATCCACACAATGTGTCCTCTTAATGCAAAACAGGGCAGGGCTGACTGTTGGCTTATAATGAGTATGTATTTTCATTGTATGCAATGCATAGTGTTCTCCAATGTATTGTATTTTGGATCGAAATGTAACCACTGTTGCCCCCTAGAGGTCAGAAGTTAAACACTCGAAGATGTGAGTTTCCAGGCTGAGAAGGAGAGGGGTCACTCCTAAGCAGTTAGTCAGTATTGTTGTAGTGCTGGGCTGTTGTTTCCTGGCATGTGCATCAAAATGTTAAACCTGTATTACATGTGGTGCTGTGGCTACGCTCCTCTTTATTTTCCTCATTTAGCTCTCTGATGACGACATTTAAATACAGTATGTCAGATGAATGTAAAACAGTGTATTCATCTTTGGCTTTGCCGTCTTCCATACAAAATAAAACATTAAAAAAAAGCAGCATTTAATAAATGATGAAAACACAAAGACTAATGTATTTAATGCTTTAATTAAATATCTTTTCTTGGAATAAAAAAAGTGCAGGTACTTTGAATGACGTTCAATAAGGGGAACAAATAATGGAACGTAGATTCATTTCGCAGAGTGATTCGAGGCAAAATAAATCAAAAGACTTATAGAAACATTGTATAAAAATAACAGCGAGACCCTTATGAAAAATTCCATAATGTTATCCTGCATGCTCAGCCTGCTGCATTACTTCAATAAAAGCCCTACATTAATTTAAGATGTATGAATTGAATGCTAAGTGAGGTTAATAAAAGCACTTAAAGAAGCTATTAAACAACCAGACGGAACAAGTCCTGACCAAAATATTTACGAATCTGAAGTTACAGCACATTGAAAACAAAAGTTAATGGGACAGAGATTTTTAAAAAGCGTTGAACAAATAATAATAATCAGCATTATTGTGGGTGCTGACATTCTGATTGAAAAAGAGATCCTCTTGATAAGTCATTACATTTGTGATGTGCTTTCATTTAAAGTCATTCTTTAAACTTTATAGATTTGTTTAAATATTTGACACAATAACATTTTGGAGGACACACAAAAGTGCTAATTATTAGGAAATGTATAAATACCCCTTCAAATCTGAAAGTCAAAAATATTCATAATAATTACCAGATCTAAAGTGGATTTCTATTCAAAACAAAAAGGATGAGTAAATGAAACAAATAAATACAAGGAAGACATACATAGGCGAGAGTTTGTAGTGTGTAGATGCAGTAGACATGTGCGCAGTGTGTGTGTTGGCCACAGGGCGGTGTTTTGCAAAGCTACAAGATGGCCAATGATTTGGGAAGAGAGGAGGACGATGAAAGACAGAAGAGCATTAATGTTTGCCTTCTGTCCACTTAATAGATCTTGTAGCCAAGTTAGAGGAACGTTTAAAACAGTCTTCATATAGATTCTTTAGGATATAATTGTCATTATAACAATACTTTCATTAACAATTTTATGATATCAAGAGTATGAACAAGAAATGACAAAATCAGCTGAGGTTTTCAATGGCAGCCTCAAACGAGGAGTCACCGGCTTCAAAGTCTGTCGAGTCCAGTCATTTTATTTTCGTTATAAGCATTTGTAGCCACCAGGAACAGCCTATAACTGTATAAGTGTGTGTGTGTGTCAAAAATGCCCAAATCCAACCCCCCCACCCCCACCCCAATCTCTGGGAATTTCATCTCTCCTCCCCACACCTCCATCCATATTTAACTGAGTAGCTCAGTTGCACTGCAAAAGTTTTCCTCTCAGTTTTCCAGGTTTTTCAGCGACTTATCTGTCCTTTGACCCGACCATAATGGCTTCCCTATCTCAGTCTCTTTCAGAGGCGAGTCTGGGCCTCAGGGACATAGATTTCGATGCTGTCCGCGCTCTCTGTAGCGGAGTTCTGGCGAAACGAGGCAGCCTTTTTCGCAGCCAGTAGACGCTTGCGAGCCTCGTGTCTCTGCTTCTCTGCTGAAGCCGAAGAAGAGGTGGATGCAGAGTCTGCGCTCTTCTCACGGCCCAGCGATGGTCGCCCCTTACCGGGTTTCTTTGACACCGGAGCGGTTTCCTTCTCCTCGTCCTGTAGTGTTGGGAGTAAGGAAACATGACAGAACAAGGAGGAGAAAGAGGGAGGGAGAAAGAGCAAAGTGCGAAACAAGGAGTGAGAGATTGTAATGTGGAAACTGTCTTAAAGAGTATCAATCAGTCTGGGCAGGTTTGGCAGACAGGACTTTGACAAGGACAATGCTTTTCTTTTTCATTAAAGCTTGAAATAAAATGTAGTGGTTTTAGGTTTCAAACTGAAAAACTCTGACAAAAAGAGGTAAATATTTGAGAAAAAAACAGTCATTAACATGACAATTTTTGAAGACATGAAATGGTAACATGAATTAATGGCCACGTTGGATCAAACTAAAAGCCGAATTAAGGGATCACAAGACACAGTCAATGCACTTGCAGTGAAAAGCAACATAAAGCAAGAGCAACTCAGCTACGAATCCCAACGCACATAAACATATAAAAAGTAGGGTGGTCCTTAGTGCCATGTACATTTTTCGAATTCATTTATTTTAAGCTCCAACCTCAGAATTCGTTATGACAGTCAAGAAAACTCTCCTGGTGAATTTTATTCAAATTCCCACAACATTTACCCCTCCCTCATCAACTTTGAAGTTTAGCCTCACGTAGGGTGGTCCTTAAAATTGAAAGTCGGAAAGTCTAAGCTCCAACCCCCAGAATTCATTCTATTAGTCAAGAAAACTCTCCTGGTGAATGTTTTCCTCAATCTGACAACATTTACCCCTCCCTCATCGACCTGGGCTAGACAATAGAGAGAGAGAAAGGAAAACAAGGACAGACACACAAACACAAAACAAGACATTTAAACAGAGAAGAAGCAAAGCAAGACTGCATTCTGTCACGAGCTAGTACATCTTAGCCATGCTCCACTGCAACCAGCATACCAGTAAGTGACGCATGCATGCTCAAAGCAGGGCTTCACATTTAAAAACACACCATTGACAGCCCTCTTTGAGATATATTTTCCATGCATGCCTAAAGGGATCTCTCTGGCCCCTTTGTGTTATAGAGGGCGCCCTGTTAGAGTTCATCCCACGCAGGGGGAAGGAAGTAAAAAAGAGTGGGAGAAATGGTGGTGGTGGTGGGAGAGAGGCCGGTATCGGCGGCTTTCCTACCCCAGCCAGCGCACTGGGCAGCAGGGGTGGGAAGTACCTTCCGCTCAGGGGGCGACTGGGCAGCCGCAGACGGCACGGACTGCCAGTCATTGGACTTGAGATGGTAGAGCTCGTCAAACTTGAGGCTGATGTCCTCGATGGAGAGCTGCAGCAGGTCCCAGAACCCTGCCAGGTCCTGGGCGGTGGCCCGCGGGTTGGCATTCACATTCTGTGGACACAGTCAATGTTGGAGCGGAGAATGTATGAAATGTAAGAGAGCAAACAGCATTACAGTTAATTCAAGAGCAAAACTAATCTCACACAAGCCAGTAGGTAGTGAAAACCAATGTCTCGCCTTTGAAAGTGAGCTGTAAAATACTTATGGATTTTTATTCTGCTTATTCTTTTTGTAAAGCATTACAACCAGCTTTGAATCAACTAGTCAGAGCCGATTACATAACTACAAGTCTATTTCACTTCTTGTTTTGGGCTACGCCGTTTGCATACTGTACTGGTGTAAAAACGACATTTGACACTCAGCACATGGGCTATTTAATGGCCGATTGGCTCTGAGGTACCAGAAAAACAATCAATACACCTTCAATGCATCCAAGGTCATCACAAGCAGGAACAGATCAGCTACATCATGAAAAAAGTTATTATAAAAAAGCAAAATTATTCAATTCTAACTAACTTTTTTGGATAATATTTAGCAAGTAAAAACTAGGCCATAATTCCAAAAATACTTTGTCCTAGATGTGTCCATAAAGGGAGAATGGGGACGGGGGTTGGGGTCTCTATAGGGCAGCTTTTGTGGGTCAGCACCACCAAAACCAACCATCCCAATTTTCTCTGATCCTGGTTTAAAAAACAGTGTCGTTCCTTATTGTGAAGAGGTAAGTACAAGAAGAAGCCAACATCAGGCCAACGGAGAAAACCTAAATTAACTTACTGATTTCATCTAATGGTAATTTAATTGAAACAAAATGTCGTCCTATTACTGTACTTTACGTCTGCACTGCATTACTTACATGCTGTATGTCATCAAGTGTTTCCCTTTTTCATCACTAGGGGGAGCTATTTCACAGGTTTTTTCTCCATGTCTCCGGGTCAAAATAAAGGATAACAACAGAGCTGTGACCTTTTTAGTACAGTAAGCCTGCACTTTAATTCTACAGGGACATTAAATCTGTTATAATGTCAGAAAAAAGAAATACAATCATTCAGGACCCAGTCTCCTTTAAAGATTAAAAGTAACAGATTAAACCCCTTACTTGTTTACAAACAGCTGAAGTAAATCCTGCAGTTTATAATGCTATTACTATTTATACATGATACTGCATTCACTGCTGTGATGTCCAGTTTTAATTTTGAAAAACAAAATGTACACTATCATGCGAACAACCCTGTGAAGTTACCGAAATGGTAGAGCAATTACAAGTTAGATATTAATCATTGCACATCAGCAAATTAAATTACATATTGACATGCGTAAAAGAGTGAATCAGGAGACTGTATACGTGCAGAAATACTAATTGTATAAAAGCACTAATTGTTGTTTGTTTGTAACTAAGGCTCAATCATTTATTCGCAGAGAAACCTCAATTGCGTAAATAGCACATAAACATAACGACAGCATTTCATGTGGCCATGTGATGTTGTTTTATGTAGGTCAAGTTCAATGAAGCTGACAAAGACGTTCATAGTTTATCAGTCATGATCATCTGGTCAATATTTTTGGAAGTTGAGCGTCATGTGAACCAACGTGTAAAACAGTTATTGTTTTATGTGATGGTAGTTGGCCAAAATTAGTATAAGGCCATTTCCAGTAAAACACATCACACAAGAGAAATAGCTTAGAGGCTTATTGTAAGCTCCTTGTATTTTGTGCTGGTTGGCCACAATGACTTATTCTGTGATGGCGTCATATGTTGTGTATCTCGGCTCTTCCCACACTTATTTGTGTGTGAAAGCCTTAACCTGAATCAAGGAATTTAGCAGAAGACATTGCTTTTGGTAAAAGAAAGGCCATATACTGTACGCACCAAGTTTTGTTCGCACAGTCCCCGGAACTGCTGGAACTTCTGGGAGATGAGGAGCTGGGCACATCCTACTGCACTGCGAACCTTCCCCAGCACTGAAGAGAGAACCAAAAGCCAAAAGAAACATACATTTTCAGGAATTTGTGATAATTATTGATCTCAAAGGCCTCCTGTTATTCAATCTATGGATGATACACACACCCAGTTTTCTCGGCTACAGTCAGGGTCTGAAATTAAGCTTGTTTTTACCTTCCACTACAGTAGGTCACTGAACACTTTCATGTCCTCTCAATGTTTTTCTCATAAATTCCTTCCAAAAATAAAATATCTTAATATAAGGTAAGCCTATATTCACCGACCTGGTGACAGATGACCTGACATTTTTACCTGCCACTGACAAAATGCACTGTACTGTTATTTAGAAGGTGGTACGAGCTAATTTAGTGCCCTGGCTATAGTGTTGTACAACAAAACAAGGTCTATATCAGGGTTCAGTAACAACCTCAACTATTCTGTGTTGCAAATGGTTGTGGTGTGGTGCTAACCAAAAGATTACTGCAGGTGTTTAGACAGTTAGATGTACTTTGCCCAACTAACTCCACAGGGTGGCAAGAAGAGGATTACAGTGTATTGGATAATGTTATCCTCTTTAAAAAAGGCATCCAAGCTTGTATACATACACTGTCAGCGGTCAGCGCTTGTCTGTTGCTGTATCAAATATAGGCCAAACATCTGCCCACAATTGGGACTGATCTGATCACTGGATTGTAAAGTTTTGGCTATGCGATTATACTGCGTTGAGACCCAGCTACAGATTTGCATACATGTTTTAATACTGACAACTTTACGTTAAAGGAAGTCACACAGACATTGTTTATGACAAAAATAAGAAACATATGGGCTCCCAAAGACACACAGAGCCTTGTTCATCCAATGATGTGCCTCTGATAAGAACTGAGCATCAAAAGCCTTACCACTGTTTATTTGTTTGTGTGTACATACAGTGTATGTGTGTGTTGCTGCGGTCGAAGCACTAATCTAATCTGGAGGTTTAATCAGTTCCAGAGAAGATTTGTGTAATGCTGGGGATTACAGGCCTGCTTGTGTGTGGTAACCCCCGGTATTACTGCCTCATCCCCTCCATGCTGAGTATGTCTGATAGAGTGATTATCGGGCCTGAGGCGGAACTCAATAAGCGAGCAGGGCTCTATAACTGAGCTCTGGACCGCACGGTGGGGTCAGACAGCTAAAGACCTCTGGAAGGAGGCTCAGGATGCAGGGTTCATTCAGAGGGTTAGACCTCAGCAATGCTTTTCCTTTTTTTCTGGGCCAAATAACTCGATTTGGAAGATTGACATTCATTATGCCATTCGTTTTTGGTACCTCTAGCAGCTAAAGAAACATATTATTGTAATTCAAATTCACTTGTGATATTTCAAAATCCCCCTTGCATGAATTTCTGTTAAGGGAACGAAAAGGATTTGATCCAGTGTGCAAACTGGTCAGGTGAATTAATAAAGACGCTTCCTCTTTCATTCCCTCACAGCCCAGCCTGGAGATGGAAACCAGAGGCAATTTAAGGTGCTTTAACTTTGTCATTACAAAGTGAGTGTGGATTGCATCATGTATATGCTGTAGATTAATGACATCAGTGTTTGATTTGTCTTCCTACAAAAGCCTAGTTTTCACAATACAATTCTGTCTGGTGTGTTGACGTACAGCACACATTTAATTTATCAAGAAAGTAGCTCGAAGCACAAGCTCTGAGGTCACACTCAGGGGTAAAAGTAGTCTCTTTCCACCTAAACTTTAGAAGTTTAACTAAGTGTAGGTGTCCCCTGGCAGCCTTACCCTCCTCTGAGAGCTGGTTGTCTTTGGTCTCCTGCTCCATCTGATGGCACCAGCCTTCCATGCGTCCCGTCTCGGCCTGCAGCAGCTTCAGGAACCAGTGCCCGTCTCTCCGACACAGCGTCCCCGCTCCTCCGCTCTGGGGAACGCTGCTGCTACTACCATTCCCACTATCCAGCCAGGGGTCCGGAGGTGGGAGAGATGAGGGGTCCAGCGCTGGGTCCAGACTTTCTGAGAAGGAAGAAGAGCTACTTCGTGTGGTGGAGCGCTTGAGGATCTGCCTTGGCGGTGGAGGTGAAGAGATGTCACCGGTAGTGTCTCCGTTGTCTAAATGGTCCTGTCCTGGAGGGGAGCTCATGGATTGGCTGGCACTGTTGACCATGACTTTCTTTTCAAAATGTTTGGCCTTATTGATTTGGGAGATGACAGGGATGTCCTGTGTGTCGGAGTCAGTTTCTTGTTTTGAGGCCATGCTACTGGAGCGACTGAGCCTGGAAAAGATGGTGAGACAAACTGTTACAGTGCCTTTTAATGCAACAATTATGCTAGATCAGTTTTGTTCGTTCACTGTTATGCGCATAACAGTGGACCAAGAAAACTATAAATTATTCAAGAATAATTTATCCATCACTGGAAAAGTCACTTCTGCTGCTCCATATAGATATAAATAAATAGGATCGATCTGAGACTGGGCTTTCATAATAGTGCACTCAGACTGTTATCCACTGGTCTCTTATCAACGGGAAGCTAGCTTCTTAATTTCATTGCAAATGGAAGAACAGACTCAACAAGAATGTTGTTTGTCTCAACATTATTTCCATTTCGTGTTATATCTCAGGAGACGTTATTAACAAGTTGTGATTCAGCCAGATAATAAAATATTAGCAGTGCTTGATAATAATTATAAAACAAAATCCAAAGGAGGAAAGAAGAGCAAAAGAATGGAAAATACAGCGTAAGCAGCTGAGGGTATGTCACATAACACAAATGAGTGTACAACACCGATAATAAAACACAAGGGACAAACAAATTAAACAAAGGGACTAGGCTGGTTATGTTAAAAAGCCTGTGAAGATTTACAAAAAGCTGCTTCAACCGAAACACTAAATGAAGCTTTTAAAGTAAGAACATATAGAAGCCAAGAGGAAAACCATGGCATTGAAAACAAGAGGAGCACAGAATGCAAGCTCCTACCAAATGACCTATAAATTGGTCTCAACAGTATGCAGCAAGTAGATATACAGTAAGATCAAATAGTAACAGCTCATGCCCGGAATTTATTTTAAAGTCCACCAACACAACACACAAGGGGTAGTTTTCAGACAAAACACATTCACATTGCTTTCACATCCACAGAGATTCTGGAAAGGGAAAGAATAGACAGAACAGTGTGTGTGGCTATAATATAAATTCCTCACGTTGTTACAAGGACAGGAAGAGGACTTACTGCCACCCGTCCTCCACCTGTACTCCGATGGACTGAAATTTGGCCAATGGCGGGGTCTCTTCCTGTTGAACTTCCTGGATACAGTCAACCTGAGAGCATATCACAGTGGACAACAAAAATAAAATCAGACATACATGAAAGAAGGAACATTAACAAAGGTCTTGGCATGAATTATTTGATAGACTTCTTATAGCAAAAGTACAGTTTTGTAGCACTTGTTAATTTCCAGTGAACAATTCAAAGAAAACCTGCATGTCTTTGCCTTTTCAATTAAATAATGTCACAGTTGTACCCTGACTGAGTTCTGTTAATGTGAAAGACTTGCAAAATAGAGAAAGGACTTACAGGACAAGTTATATGGTAGAGGGGAACGCAAATATGCATGTTCTGCCTTCTTCACTACAGTAGTGAGCCCTAATGATAGAGGGATGTTCACCCTAATGAGACCTTTGGTTTAAAAGCACATTTCTGGGCTTGAGCAGACCCACTCACACATAATCATGCACAACACTAAACTACTGTTAAAAAGACATTTTCTATGGATTCAAGCTCAACAAGCAGAAAAGGCTACACTTAGTTGCAAGTAGGGCTCCTTGTTGACAGTATGCCTTCATATGTGGTAACGGCACTTATTCAACTGTACCCTATAGTGCAGCAGACCCGTACCTGTATACCAATGGAGGACAGTTTCCGCCTGGGTACTGGTGCCACCAGGGGCTCCTCTGCCCCTAGATTCCCTCTGTTAAATCCTGATCTCAATGATTCATGCTGGACGACTGCGTCACTCGTCTCAGTGAAAGCGTTACTTCTGGAGGGGGCGATTGGGTCTCTGGGGATGGCAATGGGAGTGTGGAAGATGTGTGGAGGGCGGGGAATACCCCGGGCCAGGCTGTTGGCACGGGTGCTGTCGAGGCTGTCAGAGGAGTTGCTGTGAGCGTGGCTCGACTGGCTGGTGACCTCCGACCTCCGGTCCTGCTGGTCCAGGTAGTTGTCCTGGGCCGACTCTGTGCTGCTCTGCACAGTCACAGAGATGTAGGGCTTGGAGGTTGTACGGGGGGGCACTGGTGGAGGGGCGACCTTCTTACAGGTGGTGATGCATGTGGAAACTGGAGGAGACACAAAAGGAAGGTGAGCCAGGGCGAACAAAGAAAACGCAGAGGCAAAGAAGCTTTGGGAACATTTTAAGGAACAGATTATTGAAGATATATTTGGTACTGTGAACAGCTTCAAGCTTGCTCATCATCATTCTATGATAAGAGTTACCTTTTCAGCAAATCCATGTTGCACTATTCGCACATGTTACTGTACACATGAATACACAGGGATGCTGTTGTGTTAAAGCTGGAACATTGGGGAACGTTCCCGTGAAAGGGGAAGATCAAATCAAGTAGGACATTGAAAAAGCATACCATTCATCACAGGTGAGTGACTAAATAAAATCACATACCACTCTCCAAAGCCTAGATCATGAGACAGGCGATTATATCAGTAAAGCAATTTATAGAACATCTGACTCTGAAGACTGAATATGAGTAAGAAATTGGAGGACATTTATCTGTACCATTCTGCACTTTATTCCAGACCAAATCTGACATTCAGCTACGAGAAGATAATAGAAAGGTACCATATAGACGGAGGAGGGAAAGAAAACTCTGTATGAGAGACGTTTACTCCCATCCCCTCAGTGGTTTAATGATTATTATCTGGTAGGATGTTCAGAAAAGAGTCTGACTCAAATGAAAGAAGATGTTTTTCTGCGTCAACAAGGTGCAAACATGTCTCTTCAACATATGCTGGAATCTGCCTTTCTGACTTCATTATTTCACTTGTAGAGCCACTCATTCACTTATCGAATCCATCAACTAAATCAATTGTCCAGGAGGAGGTCAATGGATGCATTCAGTGAGAGAAGATATAAATGGCCCATCTGTGAGCAAGATTTCACCCAGTGACATTTAAACATTGAATCTGAAGAGACCAAGTGTATGGTATGGCTAGATGGTTTCAAATTGCTTATAAAAAGCAACAGATACAATTCAAATGCAGTAACTCAAAAGACCGTTTTGTTGCCTTTAGGAACATTCAAAAAGTCTCTAATGCCTTCAATTAAGAGACCACAGAAATCTCATGCTACATGCAGAGTGAAGGCAGAGTGTGACGCTGGACCGCCAGAACCTATAATCTAAACTGGGGATTTTATTGTAACATTATGAACCCTGTGGCTACTATATGATCCCTTAAACAGATGCTTTATTTAAAAAAAGAAAACTGTGGAAAGCGGATACAAGACGATGGACTGATGAGGCTAAAGAGGAGAGGAATAACCTTTGTTTGAACAAAAGCAGTAAAAGCTTTATCATCCTTTTACTAAATACAATTTTATAATCATTTTCTACAGACTAAAGTAGCTGGCTTTGATAGTTTTTGCTTACAAACATCAGTTTATGGTGCAGACCCAACCATACAAAATCAATAGGACACTTTATAGCCTTATAGTAAGATGAAAATGTGGCAGAAGCACTACTACAGACTGCTGTCACAATCTCGTTGAATGTGGTGTTGAACAGTCTAATGGCCATTTGATTGAATCTTGTAAATCAGCTAAGTTCTCTAACGATCAGCTGTTGTGGACTAAAAGCTGTTTTTCACAATAGATAACCACCAGATATGAGGTAGTATGAAAGGAGTCAAACTCTCATAAATACTGAGATTGTTATAAATAGTCACACTTTCCTGCTGTGACATTTGAAAGGAAACAACATGTCACTATTTGATGTGAGGCACTGGATGAAGCGGACACTGTTTCTGCACCGTGTTGTGTTCCTGCACTGAATGCTGTGGTCATCAAGGATTATGAAAAAGCCTTGCAGCAAACATGTGAGCTGCAGAGAAAACACTCAAACAAAAGGCTTCGTTGTTCATTGCAATCCGCTTGTTAGCTTTATCTCTAATGTAATGCAACCTCACCTCAAATCATAAAACTTACATGACCTCACACAACAGTTGACTTGCCAAACTGCTGTCAGTCTGCTAGAGAATTGCACCAGCCTGGATTACATTAAACTACCTCCAATGTCCCTCTGGTCCACCTCAGAGTTTCTTTAGGAGCAACTAGAGCTTTAAAGGGTTTGCTACCATATTATTAAAAATATATGCTATAAGAGAATTTTCTAATCATAAATCTAAATCGATAGATTTATGATTAGAAAATTATAAAAGATGGGTAGACATGTGGAGATTATCCGACTGAACAAAACGTGATCCGTCTCTTAAATGTGTGTCAACCAGAGACCTTATTTCAAGCTATTTTCCAAAATCCTATGGAGAAATTGCATTGCATTTTTGTCGAAGGAACCGGAAGAACTTTACTTCCGGGTTTTAGGAGGCGTCACTGCGGTTCTCTCATGCAGTCTCAGCTGTCTTTAAGTTCTGTTAGCATATCATAGTTCAGGCTTTCCCTTTGGAAATTGTGCTCGTCTAAAACAAAGTAACAAAAACATCTTGATTAGCTGGAATGTTGTTTAACAGCAGAGCCATTGTAGTGGCAATGCTGTTGATCAGTGTCAAATCCTCTGTTATCTTTGGCTTGTCTTCACTCTTCAACATACCTGATTTTCGATCCCTCGCCACCTGACTTCATCCAGAATAGAGCGCCGATTAGTAAATGCTGGCCTCGGTTTCAGCAATGACACACCAGAAAACAAAAATAAGGTGTAATCATCAGAAATGACACCCAAACCACACCTAAATAAGACAATCGCTAGCCTGTGCCTTTATACCACACATGTGAACTTCATGAAAAGAGATAGGAAACACCTACCCTTTTAGATGACCAGCCCTCAATGTAAATATTAGGCAGATAATACAAACACAACCTGCTAACCGTGATGCTTTGATTGTTGGAACACACCCTCAGCTTCAACTCAGTCAAACCCCTAGCATCCCAAAGATAGATCAATAGATGTATCCATAGCAACATTACCATTTCCACAGTGGTCATCATTTACACACAGATCTCCATCTCTTGATATGTTGCAAGACAGAGATCCAGTATAATACATCTTGTTTAAACCTGCATTTAGCATCCATCCTATCGAAACAGTACACACGTCACTAGCCATGGGTTTTGCAGCAGCTTCTGACCATCCTCCATGCCTGAGGGAAACCTGCTGAGACAGCTTTTCACCAGCCATGTTCCCTCTTATGACCGGGATAGATGCTAGGCGGAATAGGGTTGTCACTGTTGTGGCAGCTATGTGATGCACCGGCTCCTAGTCTGCAGGATAGCTGTCACTAACTGGGTCTACAAGGGTGTGTGTGTGTGTGTGTGGATACCTGCCCTGCAGTTCCCTGAGTGTCACATCATGTTTTCGTCATTCTGAACATAATTTGCCCTTAAGTCTTAATGCTACAGAATCTGCTTTGCCCACCAAAAACAAGCCGTAAAATCATAACTGACAGCTGCCTCTGAGATTAGACGGGATATAAAGTAGTAGAGCTGGACGAAATAAATAGGCCAGGCCAATATTATCGGCCTAGTTTAGCTCATGACAAATACTGTATATCAATGTAACAAAAAAACTGCAATTCAGAAATACCAAATGTAATGTCATTTATTTGGAGAAAAGTAGGTAGATCGCCTAGAAGAGCCCCATATACCAAGTCTGAGTCTTTACCACAGCAAAAAAAGCACGAGATTAGCATCATTATATAGTCAGTTGGTCTACCACTTTGGTCAATAAAGCTGCAACAATTCAATCAGAACTTTTGATAATTATCAAATAAAAATGGCAATGAGCATTTCAGAGCTTAACAATGGCATGCACATTAAAACCACATAGGTGATCAGACAGGTTTGAAACAAGTTTGGAGTTTAACCACACTCTACTGTTCACACGGTATTCTGGCTGTTAGCGAAAGGTTTTGCTACATCCCAGATTTCATTAGTAAAACTGGTGAGAAATGTGTAAAAGAATGAAGAAAAACAGTTTATAATGTAGCAAATTGATTATAGTGTAACAAAACAGAAAGCAGCTGATTCCTTATAAATGCCTGTTAAAAGAGAGAAAATGCACCCATGGCTGAAAGTTCCCACAGTCAGATGGATATTAAGTGACACGGCCCATTTCATGCGCATTATACTAAACTCAGCCACACACATATACCCAGCTGTGCAAGCATAAAACACATTGAATGTAAAACAGTTACGGTCACCAGAACCAGTGCTGACAAAGCCCTTCCCTGAACTAAACACGCCATTGAAGACAGATATACACTACATGAAGCCAAACACTGTATCTCTTTAAAAAAAAGCTGGATTTACGTAAAAAGAGCTGCTCAGAAGAACTTACTGCTTGCTCTACAGAAGGGAATTTAGCAACAGACACAAGCAGAGGCTGTGTGCCAAAGGTTTTGAGTGGAATCTGGAGTGGGCACTATAAGCTCTGCCGTTTTCATGCCATCTGGACAGTGGTTCTGTTGTCCACTGTTAGCCGGGTTCAAGATGGGATTTCCAAAGCTGGGAAACAATTAGCTGCATGAAGCTAGAGCATTTTTTTTCACCAACCCCATGACTGCTTTCCACTCGACCTCTCACCGGTGTAAGCAATTCACTACTAATCATGGCTTAATACTCCACACAAAAAAACTCAAAAATAGGTATCTTTTGGTAAACCTGTATGAAGCCACACAGTGCTTAATAAGAGTTTGCTGTGAAAACTATAATTAACCAATCACAGTTTCCAGTGACATCACTGTGGGTAGCACAGCATCTTTTTAGACCCTAAAATATTTTTGCCCAATCCCCTTTTATCTTTTTTATGTAATCCAAGCTGCTCAAACAATCTCAATACCGGTGGGGCATATTACCCACTTTTTCAAGTGTTTTAATGTCTGTTAAACTGTTCCTTAGGAACAATACATTTTAAGCTGATTGGTTGAGGTGGTGGCGTTATGTGGTTAGTTTGTGTCAGACAAGGACCAGGAACAATGAAAGACAAAGGGTGAATTGTGATGCTCTATTTAACAGTGTAGTATTGCTTGCCAAGTTGCCTGCTGTCTGCCAGTTGAGTTGACCCAACTGTGTTGTTTAATCAATTTACAGGCACAATGATAGACAACCTTGCCTGAAACTATCACTGCTGCTTTGTGACCCAAAGCCATTATTCCAACAAACTATCACATGAAATGCTTTCAACAACAGCACAGGGACAAAACGGTAAAGCCCTTATATTGTAATGTGACCTCAAAATGGGATCTAATCCATGTTGTACACAGACAAGACCCCATGTGGGACCAAAGTGGGGCAGACCTCAAATAATACCCAGTGAAGGCCAATTTTCCATGTCAGCAACTAAAGAATGCTGCATGTATAAAGTGTAGGTAGGTTCATCCTACTATATCTAGTCCTCATGCAGTATAACAGCAGACATCCTGACTCCCATGGCAGCAGCAGAGCACTTTGTACGAAACACATGATAGGAAATTCTCAATAATTAATAAAGACAGTACAGATCTTAAAAAAGTGCAACAATGGAGGCAGTTATGGAGACAAACATATTGCAGAGTTTATATCAAACTTAATGAGAGTTATCCTACTTTCCTTTACATGTCTTTAGCTTTGCTTAATGAACTAAATATGTACATCGGACACTTAATGAAATACATGTCCGACAAAAGAGCAGTCCCCTGTAAATCAAGCCTCAGCAGGGGACCAACTTAGCAGATCTAAAAGCAGAAATGCAATTCATCAATACCGAGACGACAGTAACTTACGCACCCATACAAATCACCTGCTGAAGTATAGGCCTACTGAGTTATTGTCAACATCACACCCACACAGTGATAACAACTTTTCTTATAGAACATTTTTGTTGGATACCGGGTGCTCGAAGAGATACAATGGCAGTAAATTAGCGAAAGTTAATGTAACCTACTTTAAAGTTTTGGTTGTCACCGGTTAAAGAGCGTCCAGTCACCAAACGAGCCAGACTGTTATAACGACGCACTCAGCACAATTAACATTAAAATGATAAAAACGCTTACCCTGCTCTCAGGCGAAGATAAATAAAAAACACAGTCGTGTTTTTAGTTAAGACTTAGATATTTTAAGTGCAGCTGCAGCCGGAGACGACCCTCGATCTCTGTGTGAGGACTGTGAGAAGCCGGGTTTTGGTTTGGTTGCCTTTGTTTCTGTCTCTGGGAGGCGTGGTGGCTTGTCTCCCGATGCCTCCAGGGACAACTCGGAAAATTCAAACTCAACCGTTTGATCATTGCAACTAAAGTGATGATGGTGCACATAAAAGTGCTTCTTAGAATTTAATAACACCGTTGATTCTGTTGTAGATTTAATTTTGGGGACACCTATGTTTCTTGATATTGAATCTTTAAATATGACATTTTAGGGCGGCTTTCAAAAGTAAAATACAAAATCTCTATGCTTAATATGCTTTGACATTAAACCACAACCACTAAATGCAGCATTAATAATGTGGCTACAGAAATAAAATGATCAAAATCAGACGACCAAAATATGACTCGCACTTCTGACAAAAAGAGAACGTATTTCCCTTATCAGCTTTATGTTGAAAGAACTATTAATCCCACCCAAAGGAACACAAATAAAAAGTTTTCGAAATGCAGTAAACTCGAACGGCCTGAACACAGCATGTGCTTCCAAGTCCATTTAGAAGATTACAGGAAATAGCGCCACATGGTGGATACACTCTGGTAGTAATAACTCAAGCAGATGCACACATAAGTACAGTTTCTACATTGTTGCCCATAAAGTTGGAATACAATATTTGTTAACTCTTCTCATGAAACGATTGTGTGTGTAAATGGGAAATATGGAATGTCTGGAAACTAAATTATTCCAACGTTATGTGCAACAGTGTATAAACACACATTTTCTCTACTTGGGGAGCATTCAGATGACACAACCAGTACAAAGCATCTTGTATGTCATCACACACATTCACAATTCCTCTGCTATAGCAAATTCAACCTCAAAGTAACAACCGGATCAGTTTGCTTATTTTTTTGGGCTTCTGAAATCATTTCCATGACAACCGAAACTCCACTGACCAAAAGCGTCTCTTTTTCACTTAGTTTTTCTTGATAGTAAGGTTTTTTCTTTTCTTTTGAAGTTCGTGAAGTGGGACATTGAGTTTTTAGGGGAGAGGAGCTGGTTTAGATGTTTTACCTTTGCGTGGTAGGATGCGTTGTCTGTCTGTCCCCAAACGCTGAAGAAAAATTGCAAGCTGTTTCTCCTTTGGGGCTTTGTCCAAGCCAGTGGCTATCAGGTAAGAGCCAAACTGTTCTTTCCATGTCATCCACTGTGCAGAAAGGTCGTCTAGCATGGGCAAAAGAGGCTGCATTTAAGCTAAAGATGCTAGCGTGTGCATGTATGAGGGAAGACTAGTGTCCAACCCAGGATCAAGGCTATAAGTTGTGTTAGTTTATGTTATGTTATGGGAAGTACAAGTCATTCTTATCTGGGTCGCTCTGCAAAAGGGGTCAAAACTGAGTAAAAATCATCAAGGCATAATAAAATAAAAATCAATATTGTGTTCGGTTTAAACAAAGCATTCAGATCTCAGTTTGGCAACACATAACACTGCATTTGGGTTATAACTCGGTTCATTTGCAGCAGATGTATCATTTGTGACTCACCAGTGCTGCTGCTGTAGGTGCGTACAGTAGTGTCAATCGGGGGCGGAGAGCAGCCTGAGTCCATGGATGCCGTGTCGTCATCTTGTGAACAGCCAGCCTGGATGGCTCTCAGGTAGCTGTGGCTGCGGGATCGGAAGCATGTTGGCATGGGCAAGTCTAGAGGCTCTGGGTTGTCCTGAGATTGGGAACGGGAATCTCTGAATGTGGACTCGGAGCTGCGGTCCTCGTAATGTTGACTCATTTCCAGGTCCCGCAGCTGGAGGGAGGAAAGGGCAAGATTAGCAGTAAGGTAGCAAGGAGAACAGTACTGCAAGAGTGGGTTCATTTTGATCATAGTAGCTGCTCCTGGCGCTGGAGGTGAACACTAACTGCCCAGAAACTGACTGTTTTTGTAAAGGGGATTCTTTATTAGTGAGACTCATCTGATGGGATGCAATAAAATGGCACCAAAAGCGTAACTAGTCTAAGGGTGTGGAAATTAAGTCCAATTATTTCTAAGTGTTGCAGAGAACAGTGTTTCTTAACTTCAGTGAAACCAGTGGGACTTCGCCAGCTTTGCTTTAGGCTGGGTTTCTGGACTGAATGTTAAATGCATTTACATTTTGTTTTACATTTCTCACAGCCATATAATAACTGTCAATTATAAAACACAAAATATACGCCAAGGCAAAAGACACCACTTAGAAACGTTTTATTCTGCATGCTCTTTCTGAGGCTTCTTTCGAAGAGTAAGAACAAGCCTTGCGGATGATGGGTTTCACATTCTGTTGATTGACACAGACAGCCTGAGTATGAGTCAAAAATGTGTTTGGAGCAAAGTTATTTTGGTGGTTCGCAGAATGGTTCCATACGCATATAAGGGGGAGAGTGTAGTAGAAGCAGCACAACAAAATGTTACACCCACACACATTTTGGAATTGTGTTAAATGTTGGGTTTCCACTGTTCTGATTAAGCTCCGTAGAAATCTTGTGTGGAAAATGTTCTTAATTACACATCTTGAGTATATATTATCATGCAAATTAAATGTATTCGGCATGCTGGTGTGGGTGCAAATTAGAGCAATGAATTCACATATTGGACACATTTGTTGTAATGTAGTGACCTGTCAAGAGATTGGGTGTAAATCCTGTAGTAATAGCCTACACTGCCTCATTTGACCATAGTTCATTGAAAAAGATCAGAGTTGTTCATCTTCTCTTTGACCTTGTCAGTGGGAGGCTAATAGTTCTTATGTAAGTTGATCAATAAGACTTAAAACCACCAATTTCACTCATTTGGCTCTTAGGTTCATAACATTAATATGAGTTACATTTGGAAAAGCGGGATTCTTTGTTCACAGGAAGCTCATTTTAATACTGTCATTCAAGCTGTATCTGTTCAAATGCAAATTATACTACGGAAATGAGTTAGTAGCTCGAGGCAGACAATGGGGTCTTTGAAACTGACTGCTGATTTCAAAAGTAGAAAGTTTGCTTGGAGCTAAGTCATTTACATTTCCAGCAAACGTATTCTCATTAGAAATAAATCTGCTAAACTAATAAGATAGAGACACAAACAGACGGAGAAAAACAGATTTATTATTTGACCTCAGACAGCTCACTTTTAATGCACTCCCTGCACTGACCTGTCCCAAGCAGCTACGTCTGCCCAAGGTGCTGCAGGCCTGGCTGAAGTCATCATCATCCCAGGGGGGCAAAGAGGAGACTGTACCCCCAATGCAGTCTAGGTTGTCCAGGCTGCGATTATTGGAGATCTCTCTGAGAGATGGAAGACAGCTGAAAAGAGCAGTAAGAAACAAGACAAAGGAGATGTGTTAAGGACATTCAAATATAAGGAGAAAAACCAAAGGCAGGAGTGGATGAGTGCATATTCAAGGAAAAGATGGGAAAGAAACTTCATGTTAATGTTCGATGATAGGGAGCCAGAAGGCAAATAGGCATGATGAGCAAAACCAGGAATACAAAGAGAGATAAAAGGAGGATAAGGTTGTTGTATTCAAGTTCCCCCTTTCATTTCCACTTTAATTCATGAGTCATTTCCATCTTGACTCTCTTCCACTTTCATCTAATTTTGGCATCAGTCATAGTAGCATTTGAGCATGCAAAGCCAATGATATCAGGCAACACATGTACACACTGCTCTGTGTGCCATCATGGTGCCAAAGACAAAGAACTGGTTGGAGTTTAAACACAAAGCAGCTCTAAAGTCATGTTTTCACATATTCTTTGTTGGCACACAGTGATAGTAACATGACAGCAATCTGCCATGCCATGGTCTATGGACACAGATGTCCCCCCATTTGAAAAGTGTCCAACTCAGCTACTTTTCACCTAAAAGCACTGGGCAGATGGTATTTACAAGCTTAAGGGAGGTTGGCAGTTGTTGGCGGCACGGTATGAATTTGGCATTTTGAGTTGCCGCTGACTTTACAGGCGTCTGAGGTGTGCAGTGCAAAGTCATTGAAATTAAAATGATACAATCGGACAAAAGCGTTTTTGCACCACACTCCTGAGACGCGGCTAACAGACACTGACCTGCTCATTGACCTGCCCAGCTGGTGCAGAGAGGACACACTGTGGAGAGGAGACCACAGGGCATCCAGCTCCCCTTGCAACAAGGTGTAATCCAGGGTTCTGCTGCTCACGCCAATCAGGCTGGAGCAGAGCGGAGGAGAGGGGTTGGATGGTCAGGGATGGGCGGGTGGAGTAGGGTTAGTCATTCAGGCACGTTTTAGGGAAGAATGAATCCTTGACTCTACATAGACTAAAGGACTTGGAATCTTTGTAAAAGCAGAGGTGTGTATGTTGGAAAGCCTGCAGCTGTTTCTCAGGATGATCCGCCTCTTGTTTGGGTTGAATGGACATCAACACTCCAACCCTGATCCAATATGAAGTATGTCCACAACTAAGTGTTTTCATATGGTATGCCACTTGCACTGCAAAATCCATAATTTAGGACCACACTGACAAAGCTGCTTTACTGAAGGTGTTATCACAAGCTTCCTTTGTGACTATCAGAAGTCAATTATGATAAACATTTGTGCTCATGATATTTGAAAACAGAGTTTTGTTTACTTGACCGTAAAGTATAATAATATAATATAATACTAGGTCCTAAATGCCTCAAGCTAATTCCTGCAGACTATAAAAAACAACAAAGAAACATAGAAACAATTTAATGTTAGACGGCAGATGCAACAACTGTCATATCTTTTAGCAACTAATGGGCATTGTGATTGTTACTCTGCAATTAGGTGCAACAATTTGATCTCTGAAACCTGACATTACAAAACATGACAGTTCCAATTTGCTTGCATACAAAGGAAAAATGGGAGTGCATGTTCTGTCATTTAATGAAAAGGCACAGTCGACTCAGCTGTGCCTGCACCACATATTGTGCAATATATATGCTTCATAAAGCATGTCATCTAAAGACAAGTGAGGCGCATTGCCAGCCAGTCGGAGAGATGAGGCTGATTTTTGGTTATTTACTGGTTGAATAGAAACAACAGTCAATGTCATATTATGTAAACTACACTAATGTTGTGATGCTTTGTGTGTCCAACACAGGAAGATAAATCACAGATGAGGTGTGGTAGTAAGACTAGCATGTGGGGGACAACAGGGAGTCTGACACCACTTTATTCTACATGTGAGTGAGCACAGCTTGTGTGCACTGTGCATGTTGTATGCATTTGTTTTTCCTTGCATACTGTGATGGTTATTCAGGGCGTGGTAGCTTTCTGTATCCCAGAAAAAAGTGGCTTTTTTCTTTTCTTTGATTGTTGTGAGGTTTTGCCAATCAGTATTTATAACTCTAAGTGTCTGGATGGGCTCTAAAAATCAAGTCTTATTCTAGCCACCCATTTTAAGGTTTGTTTTTTATCCAAGTACATTCACCTACAAGTTTTAAGATATAAGCTAGGATAAACAGGACTTTACGTACAATTTAGAAACTGATGTGAGTACACTTTTTAGACAATCAGGAAACAATATTAATAATTTTCTTCCTATGAATTGAAAACCTGTACCTGGCAGAAAGCAGGTGGCAATCAGGTGTTTTTAAATCAAAGCTGCAGGGCTACTTTGGATTAGATTTAATTAAAGGATTGTAACTTTAACATGAGGTTGACTCCCTTGCAGTTGAAAACTAATATTTACTGCGTAACAAAAAGTACATCTCTATGTCTCAGTTTGTCGTCTTACTTGCGTTGGGGAAGCTGGTCGCTCAGAGACTGCTGCGTTGCCCTTAGGTAGCTCTGGCGACGAGCGGCGGATTTTGGCGAAGGTTTGGGACTTCCCTCGGAGTCGTCGCTGTCTTCCAGGTCTCCCATGGCCTTCACATAGCTACCACTGCGCATCCGCCGACATGGTATTTCATTGGCACCCCCAGGGCGACCTAAAGTGCTACTACAATCACCCTACAGACAGAATAAAGCGGATACAATTAGTCTTTCTTTTCATTCCTAATCAACGCTCTAAAAGCAAGTATATTGTGTTTGTATTTTTAACCTACACCTGGAAATAGGTCTTGGTAATAATAAAATCCTTCCAGAATCTAACTTTAGCTAGTACTACATTCCCTTTAGGCCTACTTACCCTTCGTCCAACCTGCAGGTAGTTGCAGTTCATTTCAGGTTGGCAGGATCTGGACTTGAACATGGATCTGTCCAGAGTAGCAGAGCCTTTCTGGATCATCGGTCTCGGCTGGCCCATGGTCAGTGTGGACCAGGACCCTCCTTTCATGTAGTCATTATCATTTATTGCCATTCTTCCTGCTCCACCTAGTCCACCACCTCCTCCGCCCCCAGGCCCAGTGTGTGCCTGATACTTCATGTCATTGCTGCTTTTAGAGGAGCTGATAGTGTTGTATCCACTTTGGATGTATCTGGACTGGCCCCCATGACTGTCATGTCCAGGTGGATGCCCCATTGTCATCATGGCCATGGTGTTATGATAACTGCTCAAATCACTGCTGTCCAAATCATCTGAGCTCCAATAGCCTGACATGTTGGAGCGTGGTCTTCGTTTGGCCTCTGATTTTGTACCCCGATCTTTACTTTTAGATCTTCGATTCTTTTTCTCTCCGTCTTCGGTGCTAGACGAGCCTCCACCGCTGCCAGTGGAGCGTCCATTGACATTTCCTTTCATGTTTTGGCTCTCCAGCGACTGGGACTTTGCAAAGAGCTTCTGCACTGAGTGCAGCATGTAGCGGATGCGACCAGGACTGTCTGTTTGCTGCTTGGTGGCAGCAACAGCTGACGTTCTGTGAAACTGCAATGTGCTGAACCCGTCACGACCTCCAGGTAGCTGCTTATCAAACTCCATCAAACTGGATGGTGCCTGGTTCTTTGTCATGTGATGTGATATTGTTGCTGAACCGCTCGTAATCATAGGTGTTCGTCCACTGAGCCCTGCCATGCCCATGCCCATGCCCATACCCGGTCCCAATGACATGGAGGTGCCCATGGTCCCTGTGCTAATCCCCCCGATGCTGTCTCCAGGTGGGGAGAAGTCAGACTGGTCGTAGGAGTTGTAGTGAATCCTGGGGAAGGTGCTGCTGTTGGACAGCTGGTTGTTAAGTGGCAGCATGCACTCTGGTGGAAGGGAGCCTTGGTTGGCTGAAGGATAGAGGTGAGGGTCCATGGTGCCGTAGTGGTCCATTGTGGGGCTCAGCAGGTAAGGGCTGCGTGGGATGGTGCAGGTCTTGTGAGAGTAGAGGGCCTCTGGATGACCGGAGGGAGGCTCACAGGATTCGGACAGGTGTCTGTTACGGTTGGTCCCCAACCCTTTCATAGTGGCGAGGAGGTCCGACCTTCTAAAAGACCCCCGGGCCAACTAAAGATGACTGATGACCTTGAAGGTGATTCCTAGAAAACAGAGAAGCACAGGACAAAAGAGTGAAGAGGTTTAAAAATGGTTAGTATAGTAGTGTACAAAACACACAGACACAGACGTAACTCAACGGCTCCTATCAGCTCAGCCACAAAAACATGCCCACTTGTGTGCAAAACCAGAATACAAACAGGCTAGCTGGGAGGAAAATACTATGCAGTGATTGAGCCAGCTCTCCGCTGCCTCCCACAGAGAACATCTGTGTTCAAATGTTGGGAATGGATGGAAAAACAATGCGTGGGACAATGACGAGCTGTAGCCAGTGAGCCAGGGCATAAATTATGGGAAAAATAACAATTGCTGGCTGTCAGTAAAATCCACACCTCCACAGTTATGTGGCACTACACTATATGCCATATACAGTAAACACATATCTCTTTTAGGTCTAATGAAATAAAAAATAAAAAGATTTAAATTATATTTATTCAAACAGCCCAACAACTCGACTTTTGCAAGATATTGTGTGCCCTTTTATTAGAAAAAAGAAAAAAAAAGTCTAAAGATTATACCTGCTGCCATCCCACAGGTTAGTTGGGATACAGCCACATATTTGGGAGAACCCTTTCTATCGGAAATATTTCTCTGCCCATTATTCCATCTGTTTCTCTCTCTCCCTCCACTCGCCATTCACTCTCCTCTCCCACCTCCCTGGCACTGGTCACTGAGCTCCTGTCCTATGTTTGCATGGTGAGCCAAGGATGGCGGGCAGACTGTCATAGTGAAACCAGTAAAGAGGATTTGACCAGCAGGGGGTGGGTTGCAGAAGTTGGCAGTGACACCTCTTTGTTGTACTAGTCAAGCTGTGCCAATGTCCTGCCTGGCAAGGTGCCAAGGAGGGTACTTCATGCATGGAAATGATAGAGGATGAAAGCGAAGGTGAGAGAGACTTTTGTGGTATTTATACATTCACAGGTATAATTATGAGTGGCTCCATATCCAACGTGGAATAATTAGCAACAGAGAATCTCATTTATCTCTATAAGAATGCCAGGGAGCTGCCATTTAATTAGCACAACTTGGGCTCTAATGCTTATATTTGAATATATAATTTTTCAACATATAGTCTGTTTTTAATGAATGAATAAATGATGTCTATCTGTAAATGAAGTGGGTTTGTATCAATCCTATTGCACGTCAGGAGCCCCATTTGTCGATATTTTAAGGTCGGATCATAACTCAAAACGTATGCTCGTTGATGTAGTTTAGTGAATGCAGAGTAAAATATAACTGTTTTGTTGTTGATAGTTTATGTTAGATCTCAGATATATATCACTCATTACTACAGCATGTGGCCCTCATGAGGAATAATGTAGGGCCCTTTACTGTTTGTCTGAGCACTCACCAATGTTTCTTAAATCCATTCGTCATGTAATATATGGGTGTTAGCCCCAGATCGTAACTCAAATGTCTTTTATTCAGATTCATTGCATCATATGTTGGATATTTAATATAGTTATACCACACTTTTCTATCAAATTACATTTCCTCAAGATTGATACATGTTATTTGTAGTGAGTGATAGCATTAAGTAGGCCTGTATTAGATTCAGATTGAACAGGAAAGAAAGAGGGATGATATATTTTGTCATCGCAGTCCCTGCAGAGTTCCAGCAGATGTGAAGAAAACTAATAAAGTGGTTAAAAGCTCAATCCCAGCCTCAGCATGCTAAATTTCTTCGCAATTCAGAGGAAGTCAGCTAGGCAGGCCAATGACATTTTAATTGTATACATTTATAGCTGCTTCGCACACTTTTACTGTTTGTTTGGTGTCCTGTGGTCCTGGAGTCTAGCCAGGTACTCTAATGCATGTACTCCCACTGCAAAAACAAAAGATGAACTACAGATCAACAGAAACGGGACAGTATTTCCATTTTTTTTCCATAACTCTATGTTCCCTGTTGAGAAAAGTCAATTGAACTGCCCGACTCACAGTCAATGGCTTTCAAAAAGTTTCAAGTCAAAAACTAGTCTCCAGATCCCAAAGACTGTAATATCTCACCCTGGCCCATCTCAAAAAGTCTGCATTGTACAGCTTCAGAAACACCCTTGAATCTACAGAAAAAAAACGTTTTGTTAATAGGTTAGACCTTTGCTTTATATGTCTCAGTGCCCACCTTTAGAACATGAGATAATTGCAGTATGCTGCCAGACAAACGAAAAGCAGCTCCATCACAAGCTTACACTTAATTCCCAGCATAATGTAGGTTTATTGTGATCCACTGTTTCAAAGAAGGCATTGAAATGAAGTGTGTGGTACCTTGCCTTGACATAATGTGCACACACACATTACTTCATCACACTTCTAGCAATTTAAACACAAAAAAATCTCCATATAATTTATAAGCTTAGCTTTCATGCCACCATTATTAGCACGCTGCAGGCACAGACTAATTTAGTGTCATTAACAGAGCCTCTCTGAGTGCCATCTCTGCTGATAGGGTCAAATCCTCTAAGTCCTTTTACACCACATTAGCTAACTGCCTCATATCCTGTCGTGACACGCCACTCAGCTGAGCTTAGCATACCCTCTTCAATGTGTCAACCAGTACGCCTCGAATGACAGTAATAGCTGTATTATGAAGGGAGGCAGGGTTATATACACTGCCAATCAAAAGTTCTGAACACTTGGCAGCATACTTGGGTCAATGCTCAATAATTGTAGATAATTATACTCTCAAAAAAGAAAAACACAAAACGCAGGTATAAAGGAAAGGACAGATATGTCATGACCCACACATGGCCTGGATTTCAATCCCTCTAATTAGATATTTGTAGCAGAAAATATACTCTATACTTGTTCTATATATTTTTTTTCTATATCATATCAAGTGCACTTTCTTTAATAAATCACTGACTATGAGCTAAATAATATGCTGGTTCATATGTCTTTAGAAAAATGTGATTTTGTTATAGTGCCCTCAAATCGTGTTATATAATGACAAATTTGCAGCGTACTAGGTAGACTGATATCAGCTTTTTCAAGAGGTTTAGAGTAACACATTTCCTTCTTATTACAAATAGTGATTAATATGATAGCTTGAGCCTACCAGAACTGAACATGCTTCTAAGTGTTGCAGGTAATAGGGTTTTCATTAAGCAGGTGGAAAAAAGTGTGAAAGTCAAGGCTGGCAGCTAACATTTACATTACATTACATTACATTGCATTTAGCTGACGCTTTTATCCAAAGCGACTTACAATAAGTGCGTTCATCCAACAAAATACAACTTGAAGAAAACAGAATCATATAAGTACATCAGGTTTCATAGAGCAAAAACGTTTCAAGTGCTACTCAACTGGCTTTAGAAAAGCCAGTCCTTTATTAGTATAAAAGTGCTTCGTTAATAGTTCTATCGCTCGAAGTGGAGTCGAAAGAGATGAGTTTTCAGTTTGCGCCGGAAGATGTGCAAGCTATCTGCCGTCCTGATGTCAATGGGGAGCTCATTCCACCATCCTGGAGCCAGGACAGCAAACCCACGTGTTTTCGCCGTTGGGAACTTGGGTCCCCCTCGCAGCGAGGGCGCAGCGAGTCGTTTGGCTGATGCAGAGCGTAGTGCACGCGCTGGGGTGTACGGTTTAACCATGTCCTGGATGTACGAAGGGCCAGATCCATTCGCAGCATGGTAAGCAAGTACTTCAGTGTCTTGAAGTGGATTCTAGCAGTTACCGGAAGCCAGTGAAGGGAGCGGAGGAGCGGAGTAGTGTGGGAAAATTTAGGAAGGTTGAAGACCAGACGAGCCGCTGCATTCTGGATGAGCTGCAGAGGTCGGATGGCACATGCAGGTAGACCAGCCAGGAGGGAGTTGCAGTAGTCTAGGCGTGAGATGACGAGAGCCTGGACCAGAACCTGAGTCGCTTTCTGTGTCAGCTGGGGACGTATCTTCCTGATGTTGTAAAGCGTGTATCTGCAGCAACGGGTTGTAGCAGCGATGTTTGCAGTGAAGGACAGGTTGTTATCTAGGGTCACACCCAGATTCCTTGCAGTCTGAGTCGGGGAAACAACTGAGGTGCCGATGTTGATTGTTAGGTCAAGAGTGGGACAATCTTTTCCCGGAAGGAAGAGCAGCTCAGTCTTGTCAAGGTTGAGCTTGAGGTGATGAGCAGACATCCACTGAGAGATGTCAGCTGGACAAGCAGAGATGCGTGCAACGACCTGGGTCTCTGAGCGGGGAAAGGACAGAATTAATTGGGTGTCATCAGCGTAGCAGTGGTAAAAAAAAACATGCGGGCTAATGACTGATCCGAGCGAGTTTGTGTACAGGGAGAAGAGGAGGGGACCAAGAACAGAGCCCTGAGGGACCCCCGTAGTTAATTGACAAGGGTCGGACTCAGACCCTCTCCAAGTCACCCTGTAGGTACGGTCTTTCAGGTATGAGGTGAGGAGGGAAAGTGCAGAGCCTGAAACTCCAAGTTTTTGGAGAGTGCGAAGGAGGATCTGATGATTCACCGTGTCGAATGCAGCAGACAGGTCCAACAGGATGATGACAGAGGAGAGGGATGCAGTTTTGGCAGTGTGCAGTTCCTCCGTGACAGCAATGAGAGCAGTTTCTGTGGAGTGACCTGCCTTGAAACCAGACTGGTGCGGATCCAGAAGGTTGTTCTGATTGAGATAACAGGAGAGTTGTTTAAAGACAGCGCGTTCAAGTGATTTAGACAGGAACGGGAGGAGAGAGACAGGCCTGTAGTTTATAACATCAGACGGGTTGAGAGTGGGTTTCTTTAGGAGAGGGTTTACTCTTGCCTCCTTGAGACTGTTTGGAAAGTGACCAGAAGTTAGAGAAGTGTTGATGAAATGGGTGAGAAACGGTAGAATATCAGGAGCGATAGTCTGAAGGAGGTTTGAAGGGATAGGGTCCAGAGGACAGGTGGTAGGGCGGGCAGAGGTAATGAGGGTAAGAACCTCACTTGGAGAGAGAGGGGAAAAGGAGGTAAGTGTGTTGGTGGAAGGAGGGTCTGGTGACCCAGCGGTGAGTAAAGG